AACATACATACATACATAATACATATATATATATATATATATATATATATATATTATATATATATATTATATATATATATATATATATATACATATACACACATATATATATATATACATACACACACTCTCTCACACACACACACATAAGATTATCAGCTTTATACATCAAAAAGAAACTATCTAATATCATGCCATTTTTTTTCCCTATGTAACTTGTTCAATTCATGAAAGAAAACAAGCCTAAAACATGTTCCGCACCACTCTACCCCATTGGTGAAACAAAGGAAGTCTTTCTTGTCTTTGGGACCTGATGACGTAAAACTTGTTGTTGTTCTGGCCAATGTTGGTCTGGTTGAGCATGCACGCGTATTCCTCGTGCACTGTTGCCTGGAAGGGAAATATGCATTGAAAAGAAACATATGGCAAAGAGAAGAGGAAGGGAAACAGGGGGAAAGAAAGGGAGTGAATAGATGAGAGAGGAAAAGAGAAAGGAAATGGGGAGAGAAAAAGGGGACATGAAACAGATACTGGGAGAAAGAAAAAAATCAGAGAAGAAAATTAGACAACATATACTTCATATACAAATATAAACATATATAAAAACATTTTGTAAATAAAACATGAGATACTTCCCCGTATATTATTCGTAATGGAAAACTTTTGGAGGACCGAATATGCCCAAGGCTAAAGGATAGATAGCATCAGAAAAATAGTAACTATTGTTGCCTTACATGACATACCGAAATCAATTCCATCTCCTCCCCCCCCCCCCAACAAAAAAAGTTAGGAGGATATTTTCAAAAAAGAAAAAATATATAAATAACAAAATAACAATAGAACACACAGAGAGCAATAAAAAGTAAAGAATACGAAGAAGAAAAGGCCGTTATTTACACCGGGATGCATGCAGCTGAGGAAGACGTCCGGCTTGCGCTTGGCGGCCTTCCTCTGGGCGCCCTCCCGGGCCTCGCAGATCGCCCGCCGCAGCTGCGTGTTCTCGCTGTCCTCGCGCTCCAGCTTGGCGGGGGCGCGCTGGGGGAGGGGAGAGGCGATAAAGAAGGGGGAGGGGAGAGGCGGTGAAGAAGGGGGGGGAGAGGCGGTGAAGAAGGGGGAGGGGAGAGGCGGTGAAGACGGGGAAGAGGGGGGGAGAGCAACGGAGGATGATGAAGAGGTGATGAAGAGCTGATGACGGAGGGGAAGGAGGGAGGAGGGATGTTGGAGGAGAGAGGAAACGGAGAAAGGCGATAAAGAAGGGGAAGGAGGGAGGAGAGAGAAAGACGGAGGAGAGGCGATGGATGCGGCTCCAGCTTGGCGGGGGGAAGGGAGCGGGGTCAGGGAGCCGATAACGGAGGGGGAAGGAGGGATGGTGAGAGATAAGAAGGTGATGGAAGGAAAATGGAGGAGAGGCGATGACGGAGGAAGAAGGAAGGATGAGTGATGGAGGGATGATGGAGAAGAGAGGATGAAGAAGAGAGGATGGAGGATGATTATGAGAGGAAGCGAGAGTGAAAGGCAGAAGAAAGCGATGGGAGAGAGGGTTTAACAATCCAGGATAATGCTCATGATTGTCAACAAACCAAGCGACTGGAACAAAACGAAACAAACAAAAAACAAATGCAAAAAGACATTTTTGTCTTTTTTTCCGTAGAGGAACAAGGAAGAAGATATTAAAAACGATGAAGATGCAAAGATGATAAGAGTCAGAGGCGTTAAGATTATGCAACACAAAATATGTCATTAAATCTATTCAGTTGAAGATAAAAAGTGAAGAGTGACATATAAGAGAGAGAGAGAGGGAGAGAGAGGGAGGGAGGAGAGAGAGAGAGAGAGAGAGAGAGAGAGAGAGAGAGAGAGAGAGAGAGAGAGAGAGAGAAGAGAAGAGAGAGAGAGAGAGAAAGAAAGAAAGAGAGAATAAAGAAAGAGAAGAAAGAGAGAAAGAGAAGAGAGAGAGAGAAGAGAGAGAGAGAGAGAGAGAAGAGAGAGAAGAGAGAGAGAGAGAGAGAGAGAGAGAGAGAGAGAGAGAGAGAAGGGAGAATAAAGCCCACGGTTCTCGACAGAAGCCAGGGAGAGGGAGAAAGAGAGAGAGACAGACAGAGACCGAGAGAAAGAGAAAGAGACAGAGACAGAGAGAGAAAGAGAAAGAGAGAGAGAGAGAAGACCGAAGAGGGAGAGACAAAGAGACAGAAAGAGAGAAAACAGAGAGGGAGCGAGAGGGCGAGAAGGGGGCGCCGAGAGAGGCCCTCGAGAGAAGCCAGGGAGAGGAAGAAGCGACTCACTCGTCCTCCGCCGCCGCCGCCTTCCTCTTCGTCGCCGCCCGCCACGCCCACGCCACGCCCGCGAGGCATCTGGGGAGAGGCAGGTTCGGTTCAGATACAAACTTTGTGTGAAAGTGGACATAATATATGCTAAAAAATGTGTGTTATGTATAAACAAATGCACATGCACACACACACACACACACACACCACACACACACACACACACACACACACACACACACACACACACACACACACACACACACACACACACCGAGGTCAACCAAGAGTCAGGAGACAACCTGCTGATCCAGTAAGCGATTCCTGTCCCGTAAAAATAAATTAGTTTACTTTTAATTATCAAATTATAATTGATTAGTGGTGGCAGTAACTGTTGCAGAAGTTGTATTTTAATAGATACTAGATACTAGATAATACTACTATTAGCCCTGTTAAGACGACTACTATCATTAATGATGATGAGGATAACAATTATAATGGTATTAATGATGATGGTGATGGCTACAAAACACCAAAAACATCAGCGATAATCAAAACATCGATATCTGAAAGCAAGAGAGGCAGGGAGGTCGATCACTCCAGGAATATCGCTACAAAATAAAATAAATCCATGTTTTCTAACCTTTACCTTACTCATGACTCCTATCACTGTTCTCACGAATTCTAACGCTGTCCTCAGTACTCTTTGATATAAGTCCTCATGACTCTCCTATTAGTTTTCTCAAGAATTCTAACACTGTCCTCAGTACTCCTTTATATAAGTCCTCATGACTCTCTTATTACTTTTCTCAAGAATTCTAACACTGTCCTCAGTACTCCTTCGTATAAGTCCTCAGTACTCCCCTATCATTCTGCTCATAACTCCTATTACTATCTTCAAGACTCCTGATACTATCCCCTTAACTCGCATCACTGTCCTCATAATAATACAACAAACACATGATAATTAAGCCGTTTTTTAAAATGTTTGAATTAAACCGAATACTTTTCCATTCGTGCTTCCCCCTCCCCCCTCCCAGCCCAACTCACGGTCGACTCAAATTACTGACATTCCTTTTGCTCTTCTCTCTCTCTCTCTCTCTCTCTTCTCTCTCTTCTCTCTCTCTCTCTCTCTCCTCCTCTCCTCTCTCTCTCTCTCTCTCTCCTCTTCCTCTTCTCCTTCTCTCCCTCTCCCTCTCCCTCTCCTCTCCTCTCCCTCTCCCTCCCTCTCCCTCCTCTCTTTCTAATGAAGACTGAGAAAGGATAATGTCTTTGGAATATAGTAATATAAAGGGGAAAATTTTATTTCGATATTAAGGCTTTCAACTGATCTACAGTGTTGAGGCGTATTAACTTTTGTGAATCTTACGAACCGGGTTTTGTAAAAGGTATTTGGTGTACGTGGCCTATGGTTTATACGGTACTTGACGGAAAATTGCAAAGTTATATTGCTGGCGTATCTTTTCTAAGGTTTAACACAAGTTTAACATAAGGCAAGTTGTATGGTTTTCTCGGAACTGTCTGTACATGGAGTGGTTTTATGAATGGATCACCCTGACCCACGTGTTATACAGCGATAGGCCTTTGCTTAGTATACTGTCTCCTCTAATGCTTTCCGGATTGATCTGTTACCCGGCCTAATCCACTTGTTTCCGATAGAGATTTCGCTGCTGCAGGTAATCTAAAATCCATTCTGCAAGCGCGGTCAAACGTGTTCTGTTATGCGTCGATCGATTCAGTAGCACGACTCTCGAAGAATGCACTGTGGAGAATTTACACAGAAATCGAATACCATCCCTGTTTGCACAACTTTTAGTTTGAGGTCTAAATCGGAGAGAGAGAGAGATAGAGAGAGAGAGAGAGAGAGAGAGAGAGAGAGAGAGAGAGAGAGAGAGAGAGAGAGAGAGAGAGAGAGAGAGAGAGAGAAAGAGGAAAGAGAAGAAAGAGAAGAGAAAAGAGAGAGAGAGAGAGGAGAGAGAGAGAGAGAGAGAGAGATGAGAGAGAGAGAGAGAGGAGAGGAGAGAGAGAGAGAGAGAGAGAGAGAGAGAGCGATAAACAGGATAATGGATAAAATGGAGAAGAGATAGAGATAAGCAAAGATGAAGCGGACGAAAAGAAAATGATAAAACTTTAAAAGGCAAGGCAGCTGTGACGTCACGTTTCAGGACATAAATTACCAGAATATAACAATTCTCGCCAATCGTGCTTAACAAAATATGTATATATGTATGTATATACTAATTACAATTCTCCTTGAATACATTTCTCCCTTTTAGCCTCACATGTATGAAAAAACACCAAAATAAATGCAGTTGGCAACTTCCTGGCTTGACACAGTTGCCACAAACACAATGATACAATGAACCCACTGTACCGATATAACTTTCCTACGGTATCATGCCACTCTTCATGCTAGTTGAAGGCACGATTAAGTTAAGTTCAGAAAGTGAACTTAACTTCCACGGCAAAACAGAACTTTAAATTACGTTCAAGTTGAACCGGTGGCGCCGTCTTGCATCTATTCGGTGGGTCGGTATCTTATCGTTTTTTTTTTTTATCTGATATTCCACAATGTATGGGATTCGATTCGTGTTTAGTTTCAGTTTGAGCGATAGAACATTTTTTTTTTTTTTTTTGAGGAGTTGGCATATGGCGAATGCAATAATGAACCGTTGGTATAAATATTTTTTATACTGAAAAGTAAAAATAAAGCTAGTATTGAATAATAGCATGTGATTT